ACATTAAAGTTATATGATCACGTATACCCAATATAACTATCACCTTTTGTTTAGAACAATGAGTTAATGATTCATTGGTATAATTAGATCCTGTATTAGTTCCATGCTATAGCAACTTAATATGTTTGTTCTGTTTCTCATATAGTATGTTCTGTTTCTCATATAGTATGTTCGTTCTATTATCGTGTATTGTATCTAGTATGAACTGAATCTCTAAACTATACCTATTATAATTTACTTGAACTGTTCTTGAAAAGACTCCTTTTATCTACTAAGTTATGCTTGTACTTTAAAACAGAGTTTTGTAAAACTATAAAGTAACATAACTTTAAAAGAGTTTTTGAAATGTTTTGATCAATTATAAAAGACATAAGCAACCTTTTGAAAGATGTTTATAACAAACAATTACACAATTATCATTATGTTCAACTTGTATTCCCCCCGCCTTAAAAGCATTTAAAATAGTTAAAAGATTCATTACGGGGTATGAACTCACCTGATGTGGGTGATTCAACGAATACGCGTGTAAGGGTGAGAAGTTCCACAGATGAAGTCTGGAGACACAACAAGTCCTAAATGATATATATTGGCATATACTGACATAAATATAGTGTTTGGAAGCAAACAACTGTAAGGAAACACCTCACGGGACTAGGAAACACTTTGACCAAGTGTTGGAATCACATGTGATTAATCTAAAGAAAGTGGAATGGCACTATCATGTGTTTACGACCATGGGTTTACGGCCAAAGGTAGTTTACGGCCGTAAACTCATGGTCAAACATGCATAAATGTATGTTTGAAGGCTAGAGAAGTTTTAGGGACTTTTGCTCTACACAAGGATGAGAAAGACCAACTCAATGGAGGCTTTTGATGAGTTTACGGCCCAAAGGAGTTTACAGCCGTAAACTCATGGTCATTATGAATTTGAGAGTAGTTTAAGGTCCTATTTCCATCAAGGAAGGGTTCTAGGTCACAAGCTTTGCATCTAGGAGGGTTTATGGCCAAAATGGCACCCTTAAAGGGGTTTACAGCCATAGGAGATGGCTTGGCTGTAAACTCCTTTTGTTCTTGTGTTCTTGATGTTTTCAAGGCTCTAAGCATGAGTCCTAACTAGATATCAAGTGTAGGGAAGATTACTTACGATATAGAGGCTTGAAATGGTGGCTAAGATCCAAGAACACTAGTGTGTGTTCTTGGTGTTCTTGGTGAAACTTAAAGATAACTTTTGATGATCTAGGACGAAAGTCGGGATGATACTTGAGAGGATTTGGGAGTGTTCTTAAGGTGGAATGAGATAATGAATGAAAAATGAAGAATATGAGACTTAAGGAGGGAGTTTATGGCCCACCTTGAGTTTACGGCCGTAAACTCAAGTGTTGTGGCCGTGAACTCTTTTTGAAGAGGTTAAGTCTTGATTTGTTGGACAGTGTCTCTAGCAGGTACATTCTAACACTCATTCCTTAAGTGTACTAGGCTTAAAACTCCTTAGAATGACCTTTAACCAGGCTAGAACTCATTACCAATGAGTCTGACACTCAGTTGAGTTGACTGACTGAGCTTTCAAAATAAAAAAATTTCAAGTTGTCATAGAAGGGTTCACGACCGTGAACTCTTCAATGCCATGAAGATGATGATGAAAAAGTGATGAATCAAGGCTAGAATCAAGGGGTTTCTAATCATGAATAAGTAAGGAATGACATACTTACGTTTTGAGGCCTTTAAGAGGGCTTTTGTTCGATGAGTCTTGAGAGAGTCTTGAGGAGTTTTCGGCCAAGGAGAGAAGAAATGAGTGGTAAATGAAGGAAGAACATATATATAGAGAGGGGTTCACGGCCCAACCATGGGTTCACGTCCGTGAACCTAGTTTGCGGTCGTGAACATCCCTATATGGTGTTTCCGGCTCGAATTCATTCCTCTAATCCCGAACTGACACTTCTCAACCTTCAATCCGTAAGTATACTAGGCTTAGAGACTCTTAATCTGGTCCTAAACACAGTAAGAACGAAGCAAAAGCAAGTCCGACTTCCTATTGATTGCGTTGACGTACAGATAGAGATTTCGGGTTGTCACAAAATGTGTGAGTTTATTGAAGAATGAATGATGATTTAAAAAAGATAAACGACTCTGCGGATTGACAAACAGCTATGCAGAATAACAAGCTCTGCAAACTTGCAAACAGCTCTGCGGACTGACAAACACCTCTGTAGAAGGACAAACAGCTCTGCGGACTGACAAACAGCTTTGCGGATTAATGGATACAGATTTCATTTATATTGGACAAGCCTTTTAATTTTGAGAAGTTGTGGAAAGTTATGAAAATGATTTCCTTCAATGAGGTGTTAAAAAATAGTTTCTCGAACCTATCGATTTTCTTTCATAATTTGCAAATAACCAATCCTAACACCTTCACGTGTATTAAGAAAGATATGTACGATCGTTTCCAATTTTGTTTTGTGGCATTGGGATGCGTGTAAGTAATCATTTTTACTAAATTTTTGGTTATTTGAAGTTGTTAATTGGCCACTATTCTTATCTTTTCTTGCAGATTCGTACGTTTCTCACGTCTATGATACCAATCATATTCTTTTGTCATGTACATCTAATTGGGACTTACATAACATCCATGTACATTGCGGTTTCTTTAGATGGCAATCATGAACCCCTACTTATAGCAGTTGCTTTGGGAACCATAAACTATAACGAGTCATAGGTATGGTTCATGAGGAGGCTGAAAGAATGTTTAGGTGACAGTATGGAAGTTGGTTTCATAAGTAATATGTCTGACTCTATAGACTTCATAGTATAGAGAATCTATCCTGATTCATATTATGGTTATTGTTGTAAAAATATAGCTGAGAAAATACGGGCTTCCACCGGAAACAATACAATTGTGGAGCAGTTGTTCTGGAAGACATGCAAAACGTATAATGTGTCTGATTTATATGGGAGTTTGAACACCTTACAAAATGAGGTGAATGGGAATGATCTTCACTGGCTTGACAATATTGCCATTGCAAAATGGGTACGGGCATTTTTCCGTAAAGTACGTTTCAATGTGAAATTCATTGACATTCCCGATGTCGTCAATTGGATAATGACAAACAGACATGAGTTACCAATAACAACAATCATTCAAATGGTCTATGACTTCATGCGAGGAGTGTATGGTCAACATGTTGCATTCGGAGGTAATAATGATATGTTTTAATATAAATTATTGCATCATAATTTTTATTTGATGATTCAGTTAATTTCACAGGGGAATTTCATGGTCTTTTGACCCCTTATGTACTTAAGGTGCTTCAAAAAAGATTTATCAACTCCGATGGTTGTAGGGTTAGGCATATTGTTGGCGACAGATATGAAGTGAGTAAGTAGTTAACCACCGAATCCGTGCAATTAGATCGTGGCATTTGTACTTGCGGGAAATGGGAAAACTGCGGTATACCTTGTCATCACGCTATAGCATCACTACAAAGACTTGAAATTGAAGAAATCCAACTTATGGTCAATTATAAGTTAACTACTGCGGTGTATCGAAATGCTTATCAAACTGAGATGGTGAATCCTATTGCAAACCTTATGCATTAGGAAATACCAGTTGAAATTGTTGTCGTCTTACCTCCACGACAATTTACTTGAATTGTAATGTATGGATGACAACTAATATTAGTTTCTATTTACTTTTATATTAACCATTGTTTTGGTCTGTTGACGTTGTTATATTTTAATAAATAATGTGTAACTTTTACCTATTAATATTTACCTTTTAATAAAAAATTGGAATATATGGATCACAATTATTGGTTAAAGACAGCTCTGCGGACTGACAAAAAGCTCTGCGGACTGACAAACAACACTGCGTATTGACAAACAACACTGCAGACTGACAAAAAGCTCTATGGAGTCGAAGAGTGTATAAATAGTCATAGATGATCTTTGAATTTTTCGTAAAGAGTTGCATTTTTTTTATTTATAATATGAGTTCATCTTCAAATTTCTATATTTGCATTCGTAGAAGTTGGTGCATTGGAGGCCATTTCTATATTTTTCAATATCGGGGTGAGTTATTACAATATTTAACAGGTATGACAATTTATACACTGATCCGTAGAGGTGTACACTGATCAGCTGATAACAGTTCTGTGGATTCTCAAACAGTTCTGTGGACTGATATTAAACATAAGTTCGTTATTTTTATCCTTTTTTTGTCAATTTTTTTACATAATAATCACATAATACCTTATGTGATTAAAAAAATATATATATTAATAAACGAAAAAACGAAAAAAATATTAAAAAACCCAAGATCCGTAGAGGTGTTCCATTTCCTTAGAGGGATTACTCGATCCGCACAAAGTGCTCTGGGGATCCTATGGTCAGATTCTGAAATCCGTTTTTTCATTGTCATTTTTTTTCAAAGAACCCTTTTTTTTGTCATTTTACCGAATTTTCTCATAATAAATTGTAAAGGATATGTGTTTGATAATTAAATATTAAAAAATTAAATAAGGAGCGTGTATTAATTGGTAAAAGGAATTTATGATGTCACGGAACTAGTACTGATAGATATCATTTTCGATTTCTCGATAATTAAAATTTATTTAAAGTCAATCCTGACTATTGAACCGAATTAACATTACCCGTACTAGTACCTTAAACCGGTACCGACGTTACTAAATACCGAATTATGTGATTTTGGAGAACCATTCCATATTATTAAATTCGGTACGGCATCGGTATGAGATCGAAATTTGGTACAAAGTGTTTATCCTTATATAATAGAATAACATTCCGAGAAAATACGAGAAGGGTGAACAAATTCGTTGCTAAATTTGATTCAAAATTTCTTTTGCAAATACCAAAATAGGGACGGAAATTTGTTGCTAAAAGTCACTTTCTAGCTAGTTGTGAAGGTAAATTACTAAACCAACTTATGTGAGTTCATGACGTAAGGTTCAATCAAAATCATAACAAATACGTAAGAAAAATCAATATGCTCTAAATATGCATGGATCACATTTGACAGTTTATCAAATGCCTCAAAGGCCATGATGTTTTTGAGAAATTATAGATGAACATATCATGCTTTAAATGCCGAGAATGCTATTACGGAGTTGTGTCCACCAAAACCAATTGAACTTGAAATTGCTGCATGCATATATAATAAAAGAGATTGAATAAGTTAACTTTATTAAACATGACATCTGAACCATGGACAAAGAGAAACTAACTCACCAATGTTGATATCATGCTGTTGCTTTGTATTTGGAACTGTGTCGAATTCAACTGCAGGTTCTGGGTTCTACAGTTGCACATCAAACTCAAATGCTAAAAGGCAAACAAATATGAATGTAAGTAGCACATACAAATTGATTAATGGTGGGATGCAACCATCCTGTTTGAACAGCTTTGATTGTAGCAATGGCTTCCAGACCTCCAGCTGCTCCCATACAGTGCCCAATCATACTCTGAATAAAAATACAAGATACGATAATGTCAATATCGAGCTGATACTAAGGAGACAAAGTTGACTATGGGCGCTCTCACCTTAGTGGCGTTCATTTTGATCTCTTCTTTGCTTTTAAACACCTTCTTGAGAGCATTAACCTCTGCTAGATCTCCTACCACTGTTGAAGTTGCATGTGCATTGATGTAATTTACCTAAAAACAACATTTAGCTCGACAAGATAATGTGTGAAGCGCTTTTAATTTTCAACCTTCTTAAAGGAAAGATAATAAACATAAAACTTAAGTACCTCCTCCGCAGACACACCAGCATCCACAAGGCAGCTTCGAATGCAAGATGAAACACAGAGCCCATCCAGTCTCGGATTAGTTATATGATAAGCGTCACAATTAACCGCACCTCCTAAGTATTCGGCAAGTATTGGAGCATTCCTTTTCATTGCATGCTCTAAACTCTCCATTACCTGCCAACAAAGGAGATCAACGTTCACATATAACCAACAAGATCGACAAATAAGATAGAAGTGTATCTAATGAAAAGATGGGTGCTAAAGTTACCAAAACACCAGCACCTTCGCTCAAAACGAACCCATCTCTGTCTTTGTCCCATGGTCTAGAAGCAGTCTGGGGATCATCGTTTCTTTGAGACAACGCTCGACAAGCAACAAAACCTCCCAATTCCACGGGAATAAGGATAGCATCGACCCCGCCAGCAATCATCAAATCAGCCTTCCCTTCACGGATATGATTAGCAGCAGCACAGAAACAAAAGTTGGATGTCGCACAAGCAGCTGAGATGCTGTAATTTGGTCCCATAAAGCCAAGATCTTTAGCAAGTAAGGCCGGGCCCATGTTTGATATGCAATAAGGTGTGAAAAAAGGTGTAATCTTCTTATAACCTCTCTCTATGAGAGACTCGACATTATCAGAAAACATCGTAACACCTCCAAATCCTGATCCTACAACCACACCAGCACGATCCTTATCGATCTGCACATCATCAAAGTTTACTGTAACACAATGTATCAAATGTTTAGAAACATGAAAAATGGAAGAAATTACAAACTTTGGAGAGTTCGTGGCTCCCAAGAACAGCATCTTCAAGAGCTTTTTTCCCCGCAACAATACAATACCTTTGACAATCGTCAAGTCGCTTGTCACTTTTGGCGTCTATATACCCATTTGAGTTGAATCCACGAATTTGGCCACCAAACCGTGTTGGGAATGATGAAGCATCGAATTTGTCTATTAAACTGATTCCACTCTCACCCGCTAGGAGGCTATCGTAGAACGTGCCGACGTCACTCCCAAAGACGGAGACGAGACCCATACCGGTTACAACAATCCGTTTTTTAGCATCTTTCTCCCGTTTAGGTGCGATGGCTGAAGGATGGTAAGCTAGTAACTGGCGACGTGTGGCACGGATTGGTGCTTGTGATTTCACAATTATCCGTGAAGAGCTTTTGAAGATTGTGGGCGCCGAAGGAACTTGTAACAGCAGAATAGCTTGAGCTTCCATTATTGGGTGCAGTCTAACGTTTGAAGAACGTGAAGCTATGAAACCATTTCCATAGAATATATACCCCCATGCAGGCAGGTAGCTTGTAGCCCTACTATTATTTAATTTAATTTTTACGCCAAAGTCTTGTTCCCAGTTTGATTCTTTTGGAATGTCCACAATTATAAGTTAAGGGGGTGTCATACTTGCTACTTTCTGGATGCCACGTTATATTTGGTATACATTAGCAAAAACTTGTCATTTGGATGGTGCAGGTTCATGTTACTTTTTTTTATTATTATTAATATAGAAAATAAATATTTCAAACACATTATTTTTTAATAGAAATTAAAAAAAATAAAAAAACATAGAAATTTAAAACATCACAAGATCACTAGAAATTCAGAAATAGGGATGTTATTCCGGCCGGAACCGGGACCCGAACCTGAATAAACCGAAAATCGAATAAGGGTAATTGAATGACCGAAAACCGAACCGATTAACCAATACGGGTTTTGTTCGGTTTGGGTATTAATCAGTTCGGTTCGGTTATTACCCGAATAACCCGAATAAGATGTACAAGAAGAATAAGGACCTAATATAACCGAAAAAAACCGAATAAACCGTATTAGGATTCTATAACCCGAATAACCCGAATAATAGAATAACAATATGTTTTTATCACTACTACAGAACGTCACATAGAACTCGCCATATAAGACCCGATTTATGAAAAAAACGGGACATATTATGGAAAAAACGGGTTTTATAAAGGGGGGAGTTATATGACCCGGTTTAAGGTATGGAACCGGGATATATGATTGAACTAAACAACCCGGTTTCTTATGATACAACCGGCACTTTTAGCTGTAAAATCATATGACCCGTTTTTTTAAATAAAACTGTGTTCTATGGCTATGGGGCGTAATGGCATATCAATTTTTGATATCCCGCCACCAAGTTTTGATATCCCGCCTATCAATTTTTAATATTTTGATATCCCGCCATTTGAGTCGGTATACCAGTTCAAAGCTTTTCTTTGCGACCACTACTACTGAAGCTTAGAAAGTTAGGAACCACCAAACCCTAATACTCTTAAACAATGTGAATTCGAAGATTTATCTCCGCTATTTTCACTGGAGCCACACCAATCGATTTCCCCACTACTGAGATCAACACTATTGAGGTATAATTTCATCTGAAACTCATTCTTTATGCAAATAAATTTTTGGAATCTATTTAGATGACCTGAGTCATCGATCCTCTGTTTTGATTTAATATAGGATCCGGACGAGTTCAAGACAAACCTAAAACCATGTCTGAAATTAACTTTGCAAAATGATAAAAAGCAATGTTTCATTCTGTTTGTGTCTAAATCTACACCCAATCAGGAGCCAACATACGAGATGGCACACAAAGTTTATGAAAAGCTTGAAGTTGATTTCAACTCAAGAACAAGGGAAAGGTAAAGTTGCATCCACTAATTAATCTATCACGAATTTCATTTTCTTTAACATTGTATACTTCAATGAATTCAATTCATGGCTATTGGTCCACTAGGTGCTGTAACTTTGATCTACATCGACCCAAATCAATTTTTTTGGGAGACTTAGAAGTCAAAATCATGAAGTGCCTTAGAAACAACCTTGATAGGCATATCCAGTAGTTCTACGAGGATAAGATTGGTACACTCAATAACCAACCTTTTATGCCTGTTTCGAGTTTATATATATATATATATATATATATATATATATATATATATATATATATATATATATATATATATATATATATATATATATTTTCAATCTAAAGGTACATCCATGAATCTCTTCAGTTAATGTGATAACAAAATAATGTTATTATGAATTATGAAATAAATAGATCTATTTACATGAGAACCTGACATTTATTTTTGAAATGCCTCATCTTAATGAGGAATCACTGCAAGAATATCATGAATTAGAGGTTTGTTATATGGAAACAGGTGCTTTATATAGATGCTATATATTCTACGACTTTTTGCCACCTGTAAAGTTTTTTTATTCTCTTGTACCCAATACAGTCAACAATGCAGGAAAACAAAAGGTGTGTAGTGGAATTGACCATGGAGAATTAGATATGATTAACCTGCAATCCTAAACCCTAACAACAAACAACTGTCACAAATTGTTGAAGATGATCCCTTCAGGGAGTTTGAATTTTGACGATACCTTTTTGCATCTCAGGCTAAGGTTATTTAAATAATCTTTGATGTGTTAGTTTGTTAATAACTTAATGTGGGTTTATTGAATGTTTATTTTGTTCTCACAGCTAAAATGTCCATTTTAGGTTGCATAAAGGCAGTTTTCATTCATAGTTAGCTTCTCGAAAACATTGGCTCTACCAGAGGTAGGCGAGGATTCATATCATGATTTTTTTAACTAATCTGTAATTTCTTATTAATTGCTCATGGCTATTCTCCCGAGTGTTTTTCCTTTATGTATGAGAGAAGTTTATCCTTGAAATCAATTGGCAATGAGATTAAGAAGGCAACATCAAGCATTTAGCCATTAGATAAAGTTTTTATCAATAAACTTAGGATTTGAATTCACGCAGAGTCTGATCTATGGCAAATTGATGGAGATTAGCTACTTTGTTGGGTTTTTTTTTTACCTTTAATACATTTTGGCAAATTTCGTTTAGTAAGATCATGTTCTAAATGAATATTGCAGGAGAAGTTATTTTTGATAGGTAAATGTATTAGATGTTTTTTTTTTTAATAGGTAAATGTATTGGATTTTTATTATTATACATTTATATTTTGGATTCATATTATTAAAGATGTATTGTTTTTTTTATGTTTTTATTTTTACTTTGAGCAGAAAAAAACGAAGGATTTTTTTAATCTATTGTATTTAAAAAAAAAAAACTCAAATTACTTATGGATTTGGGATGTAAATTCTGTCAGTAAAAGGTATTGAGTTTACAGATTTAGAAAAAAATATTAATAAAAAATTTAAAAATAGTTAACAGATCAGGTTGTATATACTATGAATAGGTATGAAAACAAACAAGCTTTGGAATAATAGAACCTGGTTATGCACAGGAGAACCGAGCTACATGGTCACACAAAAATGCTTCTGTTTAGCGTGAACAGACCCGCTTTTCTACGTAAGAACTGGGGTATATTACATTAATAAGTCCCAGTTTTTTAACCGGGTTCTATAACCTTTTTCACATAGGACTTGCCCCATAAAAGACTCAATTGAAAACCGGGTTCTTTTAAGCTTTTAACCGGGTTTTTTTACCCATTTTGTATACATCAACATAAAACATTCAAAGACTAAGATGTTTTTTTTAAAGCAAATATTAATGAAGTCTGCAAACCACCTCTGCAACCCTCTGCAGTAGAAGAGATGGACCAAACGGCTGCAGACTGTAATAAGAAACGTGTTTGTTTTTTAACATCTGCATGTTGTTGCATATATTAAGAAAATAAAATAAACTGATTTTATATAACGAAAATAGTTTTTTAATACCAAAAATTTAATAATGTATGACATTTCAACAGAAATTTATGATATTTCAGCAAAAAAAATAATGATATTTCAGCAAGAAATTATCATTATTCAATATTAAAAAAACGAAAAAAAATAATTTAGCAAGAAAAAAACAAAAAAAAAGAAGGTGAAACAATATTTCAACAATATATAATCTATATTTAACAAGATTTCAGCAAGAACAAAAGAGGTTGGAAGAGACAATACAAGTATTGCCCTAAACAGAACAAGCATAGATGTTTTTTACTTCAAAGGCTTCTAAGAAACAAACAGCTTCGAAGACTTCTAAAAAACAATCAGAAACATCACACTAGAAATTCAAACACACAACCCACTAGAAATTAGAAGACAAAGACTTCAAATTTGACGTCATTTGGGGCATTGCCTCACAATTTGGCAAAACTCAACAAGCCTGAAATCTTGCCAATTTCAAAACGGTAAGCCTCAAGAGCATTTTCTAGCAAAGTATTTTTGTTTTCACCATTTTCGGCTTCATGCATCACCCTACGAAACACAATGGTAAACTGAGTTGCGAGTGCGTGTGCGTTTCTCCATTTGGCATAGAGTATATATTTTCCTCGACGTTGAAGGACTTGACGGTTGTAAATGTCGACGACTCTCCTCCAAAAAGTAGTCGAATGGCTGTCATTATGGGTTGGATCTTATGCTACATCAATCCATAAATGATCGAGTAAGATCTCTTTTTCAGTAGACCAAACAATATTCATTTTTAGTGATGAGGTGTAGAAAAATATGGAAAAATAAGAAAGTTAAGAGAATGGAATTAAGGAGATTTGAATGGGGTGAAGAGAGAATAAGGATGAAAGTATTTATAATTGAAGATTAAGGGTTTAAAGTTTGAAATTTTGAAAAACAAAAAATCGTTATATTTTTGTAATTCAGTATATTTTTAGGAAAGATGGTATTTTTGAAAAATGGAATTCGAATAATAAATGATAAAAAACAAAAAAAATGGAAATTGGTATTTTCTCTTATATGTAACTCTGCCAAATTGTCGAGCCGAGCTCGGCATGCCGAGGGCTCAGCCTGTTGTTCGCTGAGAATGTCGAATGGTTTCCTAAAGCCACACCGACTAGCCTAAAAAACCACTGCGCAGAAAGAACCTATGCACGACAAGAACAAAAAATAAAATTACATAATACTAAATGGAAAGCAACACCAATCTACCCACCTATAATTCCCAAAATGACCTCTATGTTTAACGCAATTAAAAACTAAAGTAATCACTTCATCAACCAATTATTCGAAAAAGTACAATTTTTCTTGAACACTTTTTCGTTTCTTGCTTTCAAAATGCATCAAAATAACCCGTAAATGATGGTGATTGGGATCTTCCGCTTCTTTGGACAATTCCCTCACTTTTCCACAAAAGCAACAACATCCCTTATGGAAACAAAGGCATGAGTTGGGATGTTGCACCACCTTAAAATCTTACCCAGAACTTCCCGAGCAAACGCACAACCAATGAAAAGATCCACAAACTCATCAATACCATCAGAACACAAGGGGAAGGACGGGTCATTGATAGGCACCCCTCGACGCAATAGAGCACTTGCAGTGGGAATTCATC